GGAAAAAAAAAAAAAAAAAAAAAAAAAAAAAAGAAAGAAAGAAGGAAAAAGAAAACACAAGGCTAACTTGTAACCTGGGTGCAAAAAGAGCTTTCTTCCAACAGTTATCACTTTGTGACCCCTCCAGGCTAGGTGCAGAATCTGAGCAAACTGTGGTACCAGTTAAGTTATATTACTGACAGAATTAAGCTTTGATTATGAAAGACTGTAATGCACAATATCTGTAAAGGCTCTTCAATATTCATGCTGCACCCCCTCCTTTGCTTGCTGAGGAGGACAGTATTTTGTGAACCTGGAATCTTGTATACACAAAAGCAACTCTCTCTCTCTCTCTGCTAAGGGTTGATCCAGGGCTCTGCACATGCTAGTGAATCACTCTACCACTGGGCTACATCTCAAAACTTATTTAGAGACAAAGTCTTGCTAAGTTGCCCAGGCTGGCCTTGAAATTGCAAACTTTCTGCCTGAGCCTCCTGAGTAGCTGGGATTTAGGCCAGGTAAGATAAAAGCATTATTTTCACACACCTGCACATGTAAGAAGAGTGTGGATTCGAAGCAAGTTGCAAAATGTAAGGGGATTCTTACACTAATAGTTCCTTCTATGTGAAACTGGCCTTACCACAGTCTCCTGTGGAAATGGCCTAAGGGGCCCTATTTTGTACAATATCACCCCATCTCTCTACTGGTCAGTGACCTATGGGATAGATGGTTACTCTCAAACACAAACAATCAAAAAGAATATCAGAACAAAAATTTATCTACCTACCAACAACTGAAATTCTTCAGTTAATCAAATTTTTGCTTCCAGACACCTGAATTAGAAAATGAAAAGATTAACACAGTGGAAAAGAAAACTGAACATAAGGCACGAAGAGTGAGACCATTAAAAAAAAAAAATCAAACCACGAGGAAGGACAGTGTAGGGTCCATGAAAGTAGAGGATGGGTTGAAGTTATAAGGAAGTAGAATACAGCTAGGAGAGGAGGTAAGAAGTGAAAAAGGAAGCAGACAGGAAGAAAGTCACAGAGGACATTTTAGTATGATGTTAGGGTCATGACAGTGGTTCTTATAGAGTGCCACTTTTTATTCCAAATAATTTTTCAGTTCCTATTTTTCTCCTATGAGGTCCAGCTGTGTTAATATTTCTGTTGTTTTTATGGCTGGGTTATTAGCTATGTTCCTAGGCACATATTTCTTCCATTAAGACAACTATTAGTTGAGGTGACTTGAATAGATTTTAATAAAATTAGAACAAATTAAAGAGAATGAGATCAGAATTAAGAAAATATGGTTCAGCAACAGCAAGCATTTTTAAAAAGGCTTTTAATTTCTGAAAGAAAAAGCTCAATAGGTCAATTGAGTTTGCTCATTCATTCAAATATTAGTTGAGTACCTACTATGTGCCAAACACTGTTAGGGATACACCAACATCCCTAAGACTAAATCTTTGGTTTAATGAGTTTCAATTCTAGTGAGGCAGACCACAATCAAGTAAACAATCACACAGTAATGTATAATGTGACAGTGAGGTGACAACGCAGAAAAAAGGGATGGCTTGTGAATGGCAGTTTTGGAACATGGATTAGAGAAGGCTCTCAGCAGAGAAAATGACTTATGAATAGATACTTCATAGAGGTCAGAACTGTGCAATTGCCTCACTTGACACTGTTTTCATTTTGCATTACTATGCATTAGGAAAAATATAAATTGCAATTTTCTCAAATAAGATAAATCAGGAGAACAAAGGAACTTAAAGCCATGTTATAGGAAGAAAAGTTCAAGATATTGGTAATGTTTAACCTGGAAGAAACATAGCTTGGAAGGAAAATAATGTATTGCATCAAAAAGTTGAAGGACTCCGAAAGAGGCATTAGATTTGTTCTGTTGTCTATTGGGTAAAAGTTAGAGGGACACTGCTATTGGCTGGTCAAAAAAAAAAATTTTTTTTTAAGATATAGGCATATCAATCACTTGAGCAATGGAAGACTTTTAAGACTCTGAAGGTCTTTGATCCTATGATCTTTAGGAACAGTGCAATTATTACTTCACAAACCAACCCACTCCCAGGCCTCTTCACCGTAGGCAGAGAAAGGAATGTGGATAAGGCAGTCATCTCCAAGAAAGGAAGGTAGAATCCCCTGGATTTATTGCCCAATTTCTCTTCAAATGTTCATTTTCTCCAATAATTTGCTGATTGAAAGCTTCCCCAAACCGAGTAACTTCTCTGTTGTTTACTTCCAAGGGCCAGTAGGAAATTTCAATCAGTTACTTAAGACACAGACCACCTTTCAGGCCAGGGATTTAGCTAAGTGGCATAGCACCTGCTTGGCAAGTGCGAGGTCCTGAGTTTGATACCTGTTAAAAAAAGAAAGAAAAAGAAAGGGAAGGGAAGGGAAGGGAAGGGAAGGGAAGGGAAGGGGGGGGAGGGAAAAGGGCTTCCTTTGGACAAGCCACCTGGCAATGAAACATAATTATCCCAGTCAGTTAACTGCTTCCTCTGGTCTGGTTTCTGAGTTCCCTATTCCCTTGTGTGTTGCTCCATCATTTCAGAGGAATTACAACAGTTCAGGGACTTATTCCAGGCTTTAGTTCCCAAGGGACTCAGCTTACTTGCTCACTTTTTCTCCCTCTGCCACATATAGGAAAGTCATCAGCACAAAACCACCAAGAACTTTTGCCTGCCCCTGATGCCTCAGAAAAAAAAGGTGAGATCGGGGCTAAAGCCAATCTTCCCCATGAAAAAGTTTGATGATCCTACATCCAAGGAAAAACAATGGTTTAGGTAAAGTCCTGGCTCTTGTACTCATAGTCTTTTGTGTCTTTTCTTGTTACTGTCTCCTCTCAATACAATTTAACAAACACAGAAGGGTACCCAAAGGGGTTCTGGATAAGACTCTACAGAACAAGGTGCAATGAGAAAGTTCCTCATGTAGTTGTTAGTTGTAGGGAGCATGGTCAACTATGAAATAACGAGACACGGCTTCCCTACATTACTTTCAGCCTCATGAACTTGCCACCTATATGACCTTTAAGGAACACGCTAATCAAAGACAAATAGTAATGAGTTGGGAGTGGTGGAGCATGCCTGTAATCCCAGCATTTAGGAGGCTGAGGTAGGAAAATTGCATAGAGTTCAAGGCCAGCCTGAATATATAGTGAGTTAAAGGCCAGCCTGAACCACATAGCAAGACCCTGTCTGAGAGAGAGGGGAACAACAATGAAAGCTAAAGTTTTGCACTGACTGATTTCAAGGGTGAAGGGGAGTGCTCTAAGGTCTGCATTTTGAGGAAAAAAAATATGTATCCTAGATATAAATTAAAGACTATAGTATAGGAACTATGTACCTCGAAAACACAAAGACAAAAGAGGTCTTATCTGAAACCAGTTTCTGAAGCAGCTTTTATCTAGTTTGGGAATGAGAGAGGAGATTCTCAAGTTACTTCAAGGGTTGGCAGTGCTACCTTGCTACTGAAAGATACTCTCATGCTATACTAATCAGCAGGCTCTTCTCATTGTCCCTTCTTCTCTCCTGGAATCTCTGAGGATGGAGGATGTAGTCAATTTTAAAGTGCCCTGTACCATCAACCTTTTGCCGTAGAATCCACTAAATGAACTTTTTTCTTTTGTTTAAGGTTTTCCACTGACAGCGACTTTAAGACCGAAGGGCAGTATTCAAAAACCTATGCTTTGAGGAAACAGAAAAAAATGTATCCACAGCTCAACTTTGCTCCAGTCTATGAAAGAGACAAGATGAAAGATGGTAAGGTCTTCTCTTTCAATGCAGTGGTTTTTTGGACTGAGATGTGGGCCAGAGTTAGAATCTATGGGCATTAGAGATATGGGGAAATTGTTATTTCTCATGATTCTTCTGGACACTATTTTTTCCTTGTAGCAGGGAAGCAAAGAACTAAAAGAAGCTCAAGTGGTGAAGGTTTTGAACTCTGTTTAAAGCCAAAATGTAAAGAAAGTGCAAGCATAGTATTTCCCAAACGATATCACCTTTTATATTTTTTGCATATTATTAATATTATTTGCTCTATTAATTACTTGGCATTGCTGGGGATTTAGCACAGTGGTGCCACTGCCTGTCTCCCAAGTGCAAGGTCCCGAGTTTGATCCCGGGTACCAAAAACAAAACAAAATGAAACAAAAAACCCAACAAATTACTTAGTATTTTTTTTTTAAAAGGATTTTTAAAATTCTTGTCCTGAATCACATCACATTGTTGACATCATGGTTTTGTTATACAAATTTATAAATTTTAAAATGTTTGCCTATGTACCATATAAAACCATCCCAACAGTCATATCGTTCTTTGAGGAAAACTGCTTTAGAAGAGTCAAAGGATAAATCTGTGAGTCTCAGACATCCAGTCTCTTTGGGCTTCAGGGAAGGGATGGGGGAAGGGATTTAAAATAAGGTTGTATTGAAGAGCGTGTTGAGTGAAAATGCTCCTCATTTAACAACACTTACAGGTTACCTGTTAAATGTTGGGCACTTGGCAAACACCAATGATAGCACTTTCAGTAGGTGAGACAGATGGACCAGGCCACAAAGGGCCTGTATACTATGGTAAATAAATTTTCTCCATTTGGCAGTTGGGCTCTCCTGAAGGTTTTCAGGGCACTAGACACAGAAATGCTTATCAGACATGTAACTGATGGGCCCCTAGACTTCCCAGACTCCTAGGCTGCATGAGCAGGTCCACTCCTTCCACTGGGTTTCTCTCAACAGTATCGGAGACTCCCCCAAAGGTATCCTTACCAGGCCCTCAAGGCCATCCCATCCCAGTGACTGCCTTAACACCTTCACCAGCTATCCTCAGGTCACAGTCTGAGGTGGAAAGTCATACCGTACAACCCTACTTACCTGACTTCTTCAGGCTTCTCTGTTCTTCCTATACCTATTTGCACCTCACCCCTACTTACTGTTTCTCCCTAACTCCACATATGCAACTAAAACCATCCCGTGGCATGAAACAGAATTTGATGTAAAACAAAAGCAGCAGAGAGCAATTTGTTTTCCTTTAAAAGGGGCCACTCTTAGGTTTAGCCTCATCCCAACCTCAGCTTCTTTGTACTTCCCAGCAGGCCTCTGTAACATTCTCATTCCTGGGACTTTCCAGCTTATAAATACTGTTTCTGCTTAGTTCCCAGATCTCTCCTTTCATAGAGCCTGTTTATTTTCAGCCCCAGATTATATAAATGCAAACATCTATTTCTTCCAAGAGAAATTTCACCCGGACATTTCTGAACATATAAGCCAGATAAAGCAAACATAATAGTTAATACAGTACATTTAGTCATCTGAATTAAATCTTAAATGATACCATATGTAGGATATTGCAGTTCAGCTTACACCCATATGGGGGAAAGAACTTCTCTAGACTCTAATTTAGATTCGAGTATCTCTAATCCTGCAAGAGCAAGGTGGTTAATAGGATGCACTCATTTTACATTTACAAAAAGAACATATCCCAGCTAGCTCCTCCTATCTTGATTTAAGGTGGGTGACTTGCAGTTTCCTTCCAAAAAAAAAAAGGAAACTTGGTTTGGTTTTCTTTTATACAAAAAAGGGATCACTGTAGGGCATTTCCTAATTTTCTAAACAAAGTCACTTCTCCTGAGGAGCTGAACCACTCCTCCCCCTCCAAAATAATGCCTCTTGTTTATGAGGCAGCCAAATACAAGATTACACTAAGAACGGTTAGGGTGGAAGCCATGAAAGCTAGCTAGTTAGGAGGCTGTCCAAGCAGAGGATAGGACTGGAACCAAAGTGATGGGAATGGCGATAAGGGGATAAACACAAGGCAAAATACATCCAAAAAGTGGGGAGGGATGGGCGCAAGGCCATACTATGCTTCCAGAAAATCAGGCAGAGGATAAGAAAATCTGGATAAAGTAGTGCCACTAAAGCAAAGGTGGAAAAAGTTTGTCACACTCCCAAATACCAGTATACCTTCTGAATGGCTAAATGGCACAAGAGAGTGCACATAAACGCAGTGACTTAATTGTGAAAATGGCTGGGGATGGAATCCCTCGAAAAGGGTGGAACTGAGCAAGAAAGATTAAACTGGCAGTGTGTTTCAAACTGGGTGGGTTTTGATGAAGAGAAGGAATCCAGTTATTAAAGCTAGGAATGGCAGTCTGCAACTCCAAAAAATCTACCCTCTTGCTAAGAGTAAAGATCAGCTTTCTGGTCCTCCCAAGCCTCCCATTAGGCATCCTTCTGGCACATTTGGAAATGACATTCACTAGGATACCCTGCGCTTTGTCGTAGCTTCCAACAAGTCAGTGAGTGAGACGCCGACTACCCAGGTGCTTCGGGAACCACTCACACTTTCATCGCTTCAGAAAGAGAAGCCCAGCCGAAGCGCGCCGGGAGAAAACTCCTTCCGCAACGGAAGGGCACAGCAATGGATTATCAAAAATGCCACTCTCATTAGGTGAAAACAAACCCTTCAGGGCTCTCCAGAGACTGAGGGTCCTGCGGAAGTAACCTACCAAATAAAATCACCTTGCACCACTTAGCAAGCGTGGGCGGCTGAGGAGCGGGGGAATTGGGCGGGACGAGTTCGGGACCTCGCCTCCTCCCGCCCCTTGTGGCAACCGGGGGGGGCGTGGTTACGTCCCCAGAGGGGTGAGGGCGAAATCAAATTTCCAGATGAAAGCTTTTAATCATTCTGTTTCCCTTCATTTATTTCTCTTCATGTTTGATAATGATTTGGATTTGCCTTTTTGGACTACATTAAATAGTTCATCTGAAACTCATCTCTTCTACTATTTAAAAGATTATGTTAATCTAACTTTTATTGTTACATTTTAATTTTACCTTATATTAAAAATAGAATAACTTTGATTT